TCGGTCTTAGGACCCATTTTGTTTTCCTTGTATCTGCTTCCCCTTGGACATATTATCCATAAACATGGTATTTTTTTTCATATTTATGCTGATGACACACAAATATACTTGCCCGTCAGATCCACAGACCCTGGAATGCTGAGTTCACTTAACAACTGCCTTTGTGAAGTTAAAAAATGGATGTCAAATAATTTCCTCCAGCTGAACTCAGACCAAACAGAAATCCTGGTCATCGGGTCCCAGCAGATGGAAAATCAAATACTGCCATCTGCTGGTTCCCTAGTGAATCACATTAAGCCTGTTGCAAAGAACCTTGGTTGTCACACTCTGCCTGTCTGCCATGCCGTGTTTTGCACTTTTGTGTTTAGTTAGCGTTATTTTGGTCTGTTGGGTTTTAGGGGTTTGTCTTGTCTGTCGTCTAGTGTTCGGTAACCCTTGTCATGTCTGTTACCTCAGTGATCCCTCTGCATGTCTGTCTCTGTTTTCCCCTGCTCTCTTTCTCCCTACCTGTGCCTCTTTAGCCTCATGTCTTTCACCTGTGTTGCTCCCGCCCTGCTCGTTAGTCCCTGTGTGTGTGTGTGTGTGTGTGTGTGTGTGTGTGTGTGTGTGTGTGTTTATACCTGTGTTTCTATCTGGTCTTTGTCGGGTCACTGTTTATTGTCACCCAGTGTTACAGTGTGTTGCCTTGTGTTGCAGTGTTTCAGTGTTTCAGTGTGTTGCCTTGTTGCCAGCCTACTCGTCGTGTCTCCCTGCTTATTTTGGATTTGGAATTCTGGATTTCTTGTTTGGATTACTTTGTTTTGGACTCTGTTTGATCAGCCACTCTTCCTGTAAGTGCGCTCGCCTTTTGTTGCCTTTGTTAATAAACCACCAGAACTATACCTGCTAGCCTACGTGTCCTGCGTTTGGGTCCTCCAACCTGCCTCCACAACACTAACCGTGACATTGGTGTCTGGTTTGATAGTAATTTAATTTAATTTTGAGCAGCACACCACAAAACTTGTTCAATCATGTTTTTATCAACTTTGAAATATAGCAAAAATTCGATCTATGTTAACTTTTAAGGACACCGAGACCATTTTACACGCCTTCATCTCATCACGCCTGGATTATTGCAACAGCCTTTTCACCTGTTTAACCCAAAAATCTATTGATCGATTCCAGACTGTCCAGAACTCAGCTGCCAGGCTTTTAACCAGAACAAAGAAATATGACCACATTACTCCTATTTTAGCTTCATTACACTGGCTCCCAGTATGTTTTAGAATTGACTTTAAAATTCTATTGATCACTTTTAAAGCTCTTCATGGCCTCTCGCCTTGTTATATTTCTGACCTTTTAGTCCCATACGCACCAGCACGTACCTTGAGATCCTCGGGCAGAGGTCTGTTGTCTGTTCCAGAGTCTCGACTGAAAACTAAAGGGGACAGAGCGTTTGCTGTCAGGGCCCCGAGACTCTGGAACAGCCTGCCCAAGGAAATCAGGTTGGCTGAGTCAGTGAACTCTTTTAAGTCCCTTCTTTAAACATACTTTTATAGGAGAGCCTTTCCCGATTTTATTTGACTTTGTTTTATCCCTTTCATTTTATTCTATTTTACTGATTTTATATTTATCTTAAACGTGTATTGTAGTCTTTTCAATGTTTTCTTGCTTTTATCTTGTATTGTTTTTGTATTATTGTCTTTACACTTGTTAAAGCATTTTGTAACTTGTTTTTGAAAAGTGCTCTACAAATAATGATATTATTATTATTATTATTATAATTATTTTTTAAAATGAGAATACTGGGTCCCCATGTCCACATCACTTTTTAAAAACATTTGTTAAAGATGTAAAAAAAAAAAAAAAAAAACTTGCACCAAGAAATGTTAAGTAACAAATGAAAATGCTATGAGAAAGGTTTATTTGCACAATAAGAAAACCTGCAATTCAATGTAAATATAGAAGAAACATTTCTGTTGTCCAAAAAAAGTAACTTCAGCACTTATATTTTTATATTCTAAATTGTCACCTGGCACCTGAATTTTGTATTTGCCTTGTGCAATGTCACGTCTCGTGAGACTAATCTGAGCCCTTACATGTCCCCACCACTACACAAAGTGACGTCCTTGGGTAGGGTGTGTGACGTAATGTAGTGACAATGATGATGATTAGTTCAATTAAAGTAAATTATAACATAACCGCAACGCTATCATTACTGAGACTGTCATACAGCGCTGCATAAGCTATTTGACATTGTTGTTGTAGCGAGCAATGTTTCCTAACGCAGTCTTAACTTTGGCTTACTGTCCTAATGGCTGAGGTGAGGTTATTTTGTCAGCACTGCGTTAGTTAATCCCACACTGCTGTGAAAATGACTTGTAGGCTACTTGTTGTGAACTCCATGGCCACCTCTGATCACCATAGAGTCAGTAAATGAGTGCAAATGAGTACACTGATCCACTTGCACTGGTGCACTTATCCATAGCACATACCACTCAGCTGGTTTGGGGGAATATTACAGTATGTACAGGTTATATATGGAAGGATGGTGTATTGGTGAGGGGGTGACTGAGCGATTTTGGTGCTGCTTATGATGTATGTCTTCAGGTGAGCTCGCCCCCTTCTCCCCTCTTGTGTTCAGAAATTGTTAAAAAAAAAACTGAGAAATTTCCACAGTTCCAAGACAATAACCCTTTATTTAGGTAGAGTGCAGTATCTGCAGTAGCTATCAATATCAATATCATTTTTATTTATACAGCACACTTAAAACAACCAAGGTTAACCAAAGTGCTTCACAGGTTAAAAATATACAACAACAAATGGTAATTACACTGTAAAAGTTCAGCAATAAAACATTATAATATACAGTATTTGATATATAGTGATGTTATAGTTATAGTGATAATAACTGACTTAACTTGAAGGAAATGCCAAAGAAAAGTGATGTGTTTTTAACAAAGATTTAAAGCATTCGAGAGTTGGGGCGGTTCTGATATGGACTGGCAGGTTGTTCCACAGATTAGGGGCAGCTACACTAAAGGCTCGCTTGCCTCTGGTTTTAAGCCTGCTTCTGAGTACATCCAGGAGGAGGAGATTGGCGGATCTCAGCACTCTAGCTGGAGTGTGAAGAAGCTCCGTTAAGTAAAGCGGGGCCAGTCCATTAAGGCATTTAAAAGTTAAAAGATTTTAAAATCAATCCTGTAATGAACAGGAAAACCAGTGGAGGGAGCGCAGCACAGGTTTGATGTGGTCCATCTTTTTCTTTCCTGTCAGGAGACGGGCAGCAGCATTTTGGACTAACTGCAGGCGTTGAATGGATGACTTGTCTAAGCCCACATATAAGGAGTTACAAAAGTCAAGACGAGAAGTCATGAAGGAGTTAATCACCACCTCTAAATCTTTTGGAGGGAGACAGTGGAGCTATTATTTGAACTTAAAGGGCTGAGAGAATCTACATCAAGCAGTTCAGGATGTCCAAACACTATGACCCTACATAGCCCACTTCAAATACCAACCTGTGTAAAAGCAGTAACGTGACTTGCATGTCTGCCCTCAGTGCATTCTCTTCTCTGCACCGCCTCTGCTGCTATAGCCTTGTTAAACCAACATTAAGTTACAGATTCAGCCACCTAGAATTGCAGGCCAGGCTGTGATGGGGCCCAGGCAGATTCGTGGCTGACCCCAACTGGGTTTCTGCTGGGTACCTGGCTGAAATTAAATCCTTAGTGTAAAATGTGGAATATTTCTGGGTTACTTTCTTACTGCTACAGCAACATGCTGGGACAAACTGACACAATGTTTTTTACACACAAAAAAGAAAAACCTTTTTTGTGAAAGAAGCCAAGACTGGGTCAAGTGCACAGACTGTACTAGTCCCAGGGACCGTACCTGGCATTTTTGTGGAGGCCATGGCTATCCAAAGGGGTATTAAATTACCATATACACTAAAGATATTTCATGTAACCATTAACTTGTTAGATAATCCAAACTATTTTAAAACTATCAAAACTCATTATTTTTTAAATGTAATTTCATCCTGTTTTTATTATTATTTTTATATTTTTTTTTTACAATAACTGGGGTTTCATTTTTATTTAATTATAGTAATAAAACTGGTAACACTTTCTATGAAGGTCATCGTTATAATGACTTATGCATATATTTATAACACAATATAATGCGTCCATAAGACATTATAACAGTTGTTATAATCACTTACAAACATGCATTAGGTGCTATAGCAAAGTTCATAACGTATTATGACCTTTTGATTTAATGTTTTACAACTAATAGTAATGCAAGTTTATATCAATGCGCGCGGTCTTCTCTTGAGCAATCTCTCACCACCCTGACAACGAGTTTTCTGGATGTAATTATGTTGTGTTTTTGTGCTAAACTGCAAAATGTTCAAAATTCATACAGATTGTTCATAAAGTGAAGAAACATAAATAAAAGTTGTTTTCCTGCACAAAATGCGTGTCGCTTTACTTAAAGCAAACAATTACGTGTTATAAGGTCTTATAATTAGTTCATATGGTATTATGTCCACCTGTAATATATTATACAGGGATAGATATTTTAACACTTTACTTAAAGCAAACAAAGACGTGCTAACAACATTAAACATTACTATAAGCTATTATTCCATTTTATATCACCAATTCTAAATTGTGACTAAAGTGTATTTATAACGAGGCAGAGTCGGTGGTTATAATGTGTTATGGAACATGGTCGGAGAATCTTGCCGCATGTTGATATAAACTGGTATTACTGTTAGTTATAAAACATTAAATCAAAAGGTCATAATACGTTATGAACTTTACTAGAGCACCTAATGCATGTTTGTAAGTGATTATATACTGTTATAATGTCTTATGGACGCATTATATTAAATAAATATATGCATAAGTCATTATAGCGATGACCTTCACAGAAATTATTCACAGTTTTATTTCTATAATTGAATAAAAATTAAACCCCAGTTATTGTAATAAAAAAATGTACGCAGGATAAGCGGTTGACGATGGATGGTTGGATGGGTATAGCAATTTTTATGTTAAAATAATCCATTGTCTAATTTTTACCCAGTGACTTTTTCATAGGATAACGACACTTTTTTTTGACAAACTCTTTCACAATGTTTTAATTCCTTACAACATTGAATACAGAGGAAATTATTATTATTATTATTTTTAAATTGATTAACAGAAAGAAACTTACTTACATTTTACACATATTTACTTACAGTAAATATCTACAAATTGATTTAAATTAGAGATTTTAAAAAAGTAATTGTTTGCACAAGTATTCACTCCCTTTACTATGACACACATCATTGCTGCAGCCAGTTGTGTAAATATATTTTAGAGTGATGATGAAAGAAGAGTATAGATCAGAACAGGTTCTTATAGAGGCTGCACAGGTTTTTATGTTGGTTTTCTTTTTAAGGTTTAGTTTGTTAGTCAGGTTTTGAGCATGATAACATTCTTAAGATACGTACTTTAATTTCTGGTAACTTCAGGCCATACACAACAGGATTTACTATGGGAGGAATAACAACAAACTCAAGTGATAAAATGACAGCTAGAAATGGATTCAGCTCTTCGAGATTAGTTCTGCTGAGAGCAATATCACAAAACACAGTAATGGAATAATTGACAAATGTAGTAATGTGTGGCAGACAGCTTTGTATGACTTTGCCTTTGAACTCTGCGGAGCGTTTCCTAGAAACAAGGAAAATTCGTGCATATGTATACAAGACAAAAACCAGGGGAAGAAAGACGGTGCTTATGGTCATAAACATGCCAACAAGGTTATTAATCACAGTAGTGACACATGACAGTTTTACAACAGGCCAGTTGGAACAGAAGACCTTTGATATCTTATTGCCACACAATGGAAGTCTGGAGGCGAGATAGACAGGGGTTGCAACAGCAATGACTGGATAGATCCATGCCAAGGCGACCAACTTAGAGACCACCTTGGAGGTTATTTTGTTGTGGTAATGTAAAGGTTGACATACAGCAACATACCGATCATATGCCATAATGGCTAAAATGCTGAGCTCGTAGGATGCATATGTGTAAATGACATAGATCTGAGTGAAACAAGCTGATCGTGAAATCAAATGAGTATCAGACACAAGGTCTCTGAGAAATCTGAAGATGAAGCCAGCAGAGCCGTACAGAGAGTTAATAGAGAGACACATAATAAAAATATACATGGGCTCATGTAAAGTTTTCTCTCGTGATATTACCACTATTATAGTGAGATTAGCTGAGATAATAAAAGCATACAGCATGAAACACAAGACAAATGCTGGGTAGCGGTAGTTCCCAATGTTCAATATCACAAACATGGTGAGGTTGAAATAAGTACTGTTTTCCATTTACCCAACAGACAGTATCAGTGATTGACGAATAAAAAAAAAATTACACAGCTGGATCCTGTGAACAGTTACCATGCAGCTGCAAGTTCTTGTTAACTGGGTTGGTTTTGACTTTGAGAGCACCGAACCAATTGAGAGAACAGAGATTTCCACAGTGATAAATGATGCAAAATGATTACAAGTAGGTAAGAAACAATAAGCAGGTATGTTTAACCAAATTGTTAAAGTCTCAGTTATACTTACTGTATAAATGCAGTGGTTTCACCACTACTGAATGTTCCTCACGTTGTGCTTTGACAGGAGCAGCTGAGAGCCTCTTGTCGCCTTTTCAGTCTATGCTTGTCACACACGATGATGTAATTGCAGTGATCACTGGGGAGTTTAATGTGTGCTAAACACATTAACACAAATTTCACATAGCTTTGATTGAAAACATTTGCTGATCATAATAAATATAAATCGCGTATATACAAGCAAGTGTATATACATTTCCCCTAACTATCTAACGGCAATATCAGGCCAAAATTGATATCACACATTCACACCTGTATTCCCACTGAGTTCTGATGAAGAAGATTAGAATGAACAAGAGTTTTGAGTGTTGTCAAAAATGTATTGACAGCACAAGCTACTTCAAAGCCCAAATTCTGAATTAAAACTCTGAAGCATTATTCTAGGATTTGTATTATCAGCAGTACAATTCTGATATGGCTAATGTTTCTATTTCAACTACAACATACTGGTGGCTTATGGTTGTTAAATGTATGCTAGTTTACACTTATGATGAAAGGTTGATTGCATTTAACTTAGTTTCTTAAATCTTGGATTTATTCAAAACATTTAAACATGCACAGTGTATAAAGCCATGCTGGCAGCATTAGTCCAGACTGAAATATCTCAACAGCTACTGAATGGATTTCCTTGACATTAGGCGAACTACCCTAACTTATCTAGCTCCACCTTGACATTTGTGGTTTTGAGTGCCGATTCTAAATTGACACGACATACAGAGCAGCTTTTCCCCCCAAGCTATCAGGCTTTTAAACTCTAACTCATGCTAAGCACTGCTCCACTGACCTTTTTAATAATTTTAATAATTGCTTCTATATTGATGTAAGTTGTCTGCTACGTAGCAGAAGGAAGTTACAAACTAAATTTCACTCTATAACCTGTTGTATTGTGACAAAATAAATCTACATACCTACCTACATTTGGCATAAACATTCATGTCCCCTCAGGATCAAATATAATATCTTTGTTCAACATTTGAATTCGTCCAATCCTTGATTTTTAACCAAGTACATGCAAAACCAATAACATTTTTACCAGCCTCAGTTGCACTTAGTGCTAGCAAATGTTTGCATGCTAACACGCTAACCTTACATGGTATCCTGGCTCGTATGTAGTTGTGAAATCAGTTTGAGTTGCTGTTTTATTGAACTAAGGCGGTAGATCAGCCTTTGTTTATTATCAAATTAGGTCAAAGCCCAATGGATCTCTTGAATGCATTAGTTAAACTACAGGATGCTATGCTACACTTGAATATGAAATTTATACAATTTGTTGTGGAATGTTAGGGCAAAGAATTGGAGGACCTAGTATGGCCTCTCAGGGCTCCAGACAAGCTTTTCCACTGATAGCACTGGTGCTACTAACTCTCACAGCTGGTTGCACTGGCACATGGTTTGGTCGCCCCCCCGCCCCCCCTTTTTGGTACCGGTATTAACCAATGACTGGTGAGAAATGTGGAGGGTCTCTGTGTTTTGGGTAATGCATTAGACCCAGCAAGTTTTGTGTTTCTTACTGTTGTTGTGCAATTTCAAAGTTCAAAGCAAAAACTGTGTTGACCTGGTAACTAGTTTATTCCAATAAAAAGGCCTATTTGATGCCCTGAGATGAGATTCTTATGAGATGAGAACGTGTTGTTATGTAGTATTGTACTCAAAAAGAGTTGAGGCTGTAATTGGTGCCAAAGGTTCTATAACAAAGTATTGAGCTATGAATACTTATGAACATGTGCTTTTTTTGTTTTTTATTTTTAATTAATTTGCAAAGATTTCAAACAAACTTATTTTACGTTGTCATTATGGGGTATTACACCTTTCGCCCATTGTCAGCTGTGATTGGCTCCAGCCCCCCCGCGACCTGTACGCAGGATAAGCGGTTGACGATGGATGGATGGATTATGGGGTATTGTTTGTATAATTTTGAGGAAAATAATGAATTTCATCCATTTTGGAATAAGGCTGTAAAATAACAAACTGTGGAAAAAGTGAAGCGCTGTGAATACTTTCCGAATGCAGTATGCACCCAACTTCCTACTCCCCTTACTAGCTGCTAAAACTGTGTCCAGGTTTACATGGATTGTCACTGCTGATACACAGAGTGCTATTTATCGTTGGTATGGAGTTATCATCATTATACAATATCAAAATTAAAACATTTTACCCAACTCAGCACACCTCAACAGTACACTAACTTCAATAATTTCAGCTTCTGTCCACATCTGAGCAGAACGAATGCCAAAATCATAGACAAACTCTTTATAAAACACCTCTGTTGGGTCTCTTAAAAACTGCTCCAAGGACAACAGTCTCAGCTGCCACTCATTTCACCAGCAAATGTTGATAGTGGACACTTGTATGTGGCCTGTGTGCACCTGTCAAGGATGACCAGGCTCATGTTAAAATAGGTACCCCCTGTAATTTTAAAAAACTACCAGCGGTACCTATGAGTTCTCTTTAAATTCCTCCGAAACACCAGATTGTTGCAGCAGGCCATCCTGTACAATGTAAAATTAAAATAGGTATCAAGTGGTAGTGTAGAAATCCAAAGCTAGTTGCTGTTTGGGGGGGTTCAGCAAACGGTCAGTTCATGATTCGAGAGAGAATGATCAGAAGATGATCACAGGTGGATATTAGTGAATGTTTACATTGTACACACTATCTTGTTTGATAATGTGACCTTTACAGTGGAAACAAAAACTTACTCTGAAACCACTTCCTCAGTGAACAAGACTACCAGCAAGTTAGTAGCACGATCATGGCAGTTAGAAGTTTTTCACACCTTGGCTATGATTCGCAGTTAAATATGTTGCTCAACAGTGGGGAGAATATGGACTAGACCTGCTCTACATGAAAAGTGCAACAAGATAACTTCTGTTATGAATTGGAGCTGTATAAATAAAACAGAATTGATTTGAATAAAGTCACTTCACATTACCAATTCATCTGGATCTTAGTTTGACAGGTTTAGTGCTCATTTGTTGTTTTAAAGGGGACATGTTCACACAAATACTTTGAAACCTTAGTCACACAGTTTTTGTTTTATTTCTTAGTGTTAAATAATTTAATCAGAAGCAGGTCAATGACATATGCTACAATAATAGGATGATATACAGTACATTTCAAGTTTCATTTCAATGATTTTATTCCTAATCACAAAAAGGCAAGCTGTCAAGTGACCACACAAGGTGCATTTTGTGAATCACATTTTATTTACATAAATTATCTCAGACACACAAATGTAAAAAATATAATTCACCGTACAACTCACTAAACTATCGGCTAAATGTGATTGCAAAAGAATTGCTAAAAAAAGGACATATTTTAAGTATCATCATTTCAACCTCAATTTAGAGTACTACCAAATAAAAGGAGGCATATAATTCAACACACTAAATCTAACACACTAAATCTTGAGGATAAAGGATGTTATACTCACGTAAAGGGAATTAATATAGACAAGACAAAAATTATTTGGTTTTAAAAGTAATCAAATACAGAATTTTGTTGCGAATTTTGGTCAATTTGAATCCATAAATGAGAGGATTCATAATAGGAGGTATGACAAGAAATTCTATTGCAACTACATTTTTAAAGGTTTGAGGTAAATCTTTTGACCCAAATCGCATATTTACGACATCAAAAAGTATTGTCACAACAAAAGTCAGTAAGGAGGTTAAATGTGGCACACATGTTTGCATGAACTTTGCCCTGTTTTCTGCAGAATTCACACATGTTTTAATGAGATACATGTAAGACCAAACAATAAATACACCATGAAAGACATATATCATTAATGTTATGTATGCAACAATGTCATTAACAAATGTTTCAGCTGGGAAACAAGCAAGTTTAACAATAATCCAATTCACACAAAAGAGCCTGGCAATATATGGGCTGCATAACTTTAATCTAGATGCTAGAAAAGTATTTGTGGCTACAATGCAAAAAGGTGTTACCCAAGAGAAACAAACTAACATTAAGACTCTTTGCTTTGACATGACAGAGTGGTACTCCAGTGGTCGACATATAGCCACATATCTGTCAAATGCCATTACTGAAAGAATAGACAGATCACTGCAGGCAAATGTGTATATTACTAGAGCCTGAACAAGGCATCCAGAATAAGAGATCACATGAACAGGAGAAAGCAGATCCCAGAGAAACTTGGGGTAGAAACCTGTTGTTCCATAAAGTCCGTTCATGCAAAAAGTGCACAATAGAATATACATTGGTTCATGCAGGTTTTTATCCAAGATGATGGTCACGATAAGAGAAACATTTACCAGTAAAATCACACAGTAACACAGTAAAGTGAGAGAGAAGAGAGTAAATCTGTGGGTATTCGTTTCATTCAAACCTGAAAGAAAAAACATTGTTATTTCAGAGACATTATCCATCATTGTTAGGACCCTTTACGTGTGATGGGTAGCTCTTTCCCTAACAGTATCACTCTGATCTCCCTTCTCACTGTCATTAATATTTTGTCTGACTACAGAAACACATGACCTGGGAATTCAAACCAACCAATCAGCGTTCTGAAAGAGCTTTCCTCTTTTTGTTCAGTGTGTTGCAATCCACTGTACAAGCATTAAAAAACTACGGAAACCTGAAGGCAGAAAGAGTTTAATACTCCACCAATGTTGTACATTTTTATGCTTAATGTTATGTCCAAATATATATTTTTCATCACAATACTGTGGATTTGAGGGTGTATTTATGCTAATTTCACTGTCATGGCTGATTACTATTACAATAATCTCCAGGGACCATTTTGACAAGATAATTTACATTAGGCCAGTCTTAATTTTGCTCTTAGATTAGTGTAATCCAAGTTATACTGTAAAATAAAAACTGACTGACTTTATATGTATATATGTATTTTTACAACTGCTTACAGACAAACTCTTTACATGTCACATGATTTTTTAAACTTCTCACTCTAAGAGCAAAACTACACACCAAATCTGCAAAACCATAAACTATTTCACAGCCTTTCACTCAGTTTTCAATTGCATAAAACATTTTTTTTTAAACACTACACACAATTCTCTACCTAACGGGAAGTCACTTGCTTCCCTTTTCCAAACAGAAAAAATCTAAATGCCTAATCTAATGACTAATTCAGCATTATAGTATTGTATTGTAAAATACATATTACTGCTGGCACAATGGCACAAACATTTGAAGATCTACGCCATCCATTTACTGCACTGCATTGTATGAATAAAGTTGGTTGTCATGCTGTACTACAATATTTTGTTCATTTACAGTAACTATGCTGCACACACTCACACTGTTCTTGAATTTTCTACAGACTGGAAAGGGGTATTAACCGATTCTAATCTAAATTTTGTCAGTTGCCTCCATGAAGCCAAACTTTTTGTTTTTACCGGGTCATTTATTCAGCTTGTAGATTCTGCTGGTGTTCATGTCTACACACACCATTATCCACGCAATATTTTTTTAATAGTTTATATTTTGATATATAGATTATTGTTCATAATGTTCATAATGTTGGCTGATAGCAGTTAGCTCGGTGATGTGGGTTCTCTATAAAAGAGACTTATGTGTTTCCATTATTTTCGGTTAAAGGCAACCTCATAATTAAAGTATTTACATATAGCACTGATTCAGCCAGTAAGTAAACCATATTACTGTGTTGCTTCATCTCTTTCAATGAAAGTATGTCAGCCTTTGGTGGTTACATAACAGCCAGTAATGTTACATACAATCAGTGTTGGTGACTAACTAATTATATAATTTACTTAGGTAAATTAATTACAAACTAAATGTAACTGTAATCCATTACTTTCAGATACAACATCAGAGGGCCAAATTAACTGTAAATCACATCTTGTATGGGCAACCTCTGAAATTAGGTGAGTGCATGTGATTGTCTATATTAACTAGACATCAACATAGTTTCCAGCAACATAGTTTCCTGCAAATATTTACAATCCTGTCCTTGTTCTTATTTCTTTTCCAGATAGAATATGTGAATGGGTGTGTGGGAATGTAAGGTATGTTGTTGTAAGCAGGGACACGTTACTTAAAAATTGCAAGCTAAAACATGGACAGGAACAAGTTCTGCCTCTAACACCAGGAATCCACTGATTCCGGCTACGGCACGTTACAGCTGTGTCATGGTTTTGATGCGTCCAGAGCCCGGTGTCAAAGTCCACTGGAAGCGACTCAGAAGTGTTTCAGCAGCAGAGTGTGCAGCCTGCTCCACGTTATTGACTTGTTATTAATTGTGACCCTGTTTCGTTCCGTCAACTTCAGGCATATCCCACAAGGAACATTTCAAAATCAAAGCATTTTGCCTGCCTGATTTTGCTGAAATGTTGAGATTTTGTTGATTTGGTAATCAGTGTTTTCATTTTTTGCTTCTACTATGATTAAGTAGGCTACTTAGTGAGTCTCTATGCTGTTCTGTGTCTGACCTCCTGCCTGGTTCGATCTGCTCTGTGCTGCTTGATGCGGCTTGTGTCAGAAGTAGATCTACTACCTATTCTTTGAGGAGCGGAGCAGAGAGCCACTTCTGGGACGCTTCTGGTGGACTCACATGCTCCGCCTATGATGTTGAGATGAGATGTCGTTGTCTGGGATACCATTACATTTAGTCATTTGGCAGACGCTTTTATCCAAAGCAACTTATATTTGAGGAACAACATACAAGCATCAACATAGCATCAAATACAGCACGAGATTTGCAACTGACAATACATTCTAGTAAGGGCAGCAATAAATACTAGTAAAAGCTAATAGTGCGTATCACATCAATGGGGTAAATACCCAGGGAATAAAGTTGGAGTTAACAAAAAAGTGTAATCAATACAAGAGAACTGTAAGGAGAAGAAGAAGAAGAAGAGCAGAGGAAGTGCATGTTTGATGTTAGGAGTTAGAGGTGTTATAAGAGGAAGTTTTCTTGGAAGAGATGAGTTTTCAAGAGCTTCTTGAAGTTAGAGAGGGACGCTGCTGCTCTGATGGCGTGTGGTAGCTCGTTCCACCGTCGTGGTGTCACAGATGAGAACAGCCAGGACTGGGATCGCTTTGTGTGAAGGGATGGCAGAGCCAGGCGGCGTTTGTCGGAGGAGCGCAGTGGCCGAGAAGGAATGTAAACTTGTATTATGGAGTTTAGGTAGATGGGTGCAGACCCAGTAGTCCCTCTGTGTGCAAGCATTAGTGACTTAAATTTAATTGAGAGGCCATGGGTAGCCAGTGGAGTGACATGTCTGTGAAGATTCTCAGTCATCCAGGAGGTCAGAGTTACCCAAAGAAGGTTAAAGTTAAGGGCAACTGGACTTGGTTAAGTGGAGTGACATGATTCCTTTTGATCTGAAAATCAGATGCGCTGCTGCGTTCTGAACCATTTGTAGGGGTTTCACCGCACAAGCTGGAAGATCTACTAAGAGGGCACTGCAATAATTGAGGTGAGAGATAACCATGGCCTGTACCGGAAGCTGGGTGGCGTACTGAGTAAGGTCTTTTGTTATGCTGTATAGAGCAAAGTGGCACAACCGAGAGACAGTAGCAACATAGTCTGAAAAGCACAGCTGGTCATCAATCATGACACCCAAGTTTCTCACCACCCTGGTTGGAGTGATGGTTGAGGAGTCAATTTGTAGTTTGATATTATAGTGGATAGATTGCTGGGCTTGAATGACCATGAGTTCAGTCTTAGAGAGGTTTAGTTCAAGGTGGCAAGCCTTCATCCACGCAGAAATGTCTCAGAGACAGTCCATGATCCGCACCAAGACGGTGGGGTCGTCTGGCTGGAAGGATTGGTAGAGTTGCGTGTCGTCTACATAGCAGTGGTAAGAGAAGCCATGTGATGATCGACCCCAGAGAGGTGGTGTAAATTGAGAAAAGAAGGGGCCTATCACTGAGCCTTGGGGCTACTAGTGTCTTTCAGATACAGACTGTTTTTGAAATGAAACAGCAGTTCAGCCTCCAATTCAAGGACGCAGACTTTGGGAATGAATGTGTCAATCTTATGTCAACAGTGAAAGCAGAAACAGGGATACTTTGAAACTGAGTTTTTTTCTGTGAAGAAACTAGCTTCAGTATTCCAGAAATGCCACCACCATGTAGCACCACGACACCAGTAACTTCACCCACTACACTCAACCCTGGAGCCCCCCAGGGCTGTGAGCTCAGCCCCCTCCTGTTCACGCTGTACACCAACGACTGCATCCCCCAACATGGAGAGAACTTTGAGAACGACGCCACCATCATCGGCCAGATTTCAAACAATGATGAGACTTCATATCGGGAGGAAATTCATAATCTTGCAGAGTGGTGCTCAGAGAACAGCTTACTGTTCAACGTCAGCAAAACCAAGGAGCTGATTATTGATTTCAGGAAAAAGGGGATAGATACACACACTTCTGTCTACATCAGTGGTGCTGAGGCGGAGCAGGTGAACAGTTTCAGGTTCCTGAGAACCAGCATCACAGAGAACCTGACATGGTCATCTGGTGTTATGAAAGTAAAGTAACGCTACTTATGCAATTTACGTAACTTAAATAAAAACTTAATTCAATGCTGACTATTTGTTTCGCATGGGAAACAAATACCGGTCTCGTGGTCGAAAGTCGAGGCGAGAAGCAAACAGCTCAGGCAGGCAAAAACTGGCAGGTAGCAAAAAGCTAAATCGCAAACAGGTTGGCTGGTATGAGGTAACATACTCTATACTTCAATACAATCCGGCGAAGACTGGATGTGTTGCTGCTCCTGATGCAGTACAGGTGAGGTGAAGACATCAGAGGCAGGTGTGTGGGGAAGCCAGAGATGGGCACGCCCCCCAAAGCACTGCCAGAGAAGCGACCAGGAGATAAACACAAGACACAACAAAAACACACCAAGCACCCAGCATGTAAAAAAAAGACAAATACACAATCTCACACAAATAAATGAAGGCCGGGGATTCGTGAAAGCTATGGGGATCTCCACTGCGTTACAAACTGACGCTGACGGGTCTTGACCATGCATCCATTTGTGACGACTAGGGAGTCAAAACAGGTTGGCGACACTTACGACTCCATTCATGGTTTCTTTGGGTTTCCGAGCATTGTTTTGTGGCACCATTTGAAATTGACAAAATCAAGTTACCTGCCTCTACGAAGATTCATCCTACCTTCACATGTCTCTGCTCAAACCTGTCTCCTCTTATAATATCAACTCATTGATCAATGAATCAATTTGTTGACAGTGAGAAAAATATAGAGTTACTCAGAGGCATTAGAAGAATTATGAAACACACGTGATGAAATCTTTTGCTTTTCTTTCAGACCATAACACATTTGTCAAAGCTACTGGTAAGGTTACTGCAATGACTTTTATTAATTTCCAGCCCACTACAATGCCCACCACTGCCATGACATCCCTAACATATCTTCACCAGGT